TCAGTCCTATTAGTTATTGCCTCTTGATGCTGTGTTGTTAATTGTCTACACATCAAATATTGTTATTTCTTCTTGGATAATTGACCTCTTTATCATTATGTAATGCCCCTCTTATCAGGATAACTTTTTTGTTCTGAAGTGTGCTCTGTCCAAAATTGTCTTAGTCTGTTCAGGCTGTTGTAACAAAAAAATCACAGATTGGGTGTTAGATAAACAACAGAAACTTACTTCTCATTGTTCTGGAGGCTGGGAAGTTCAAGATCAAGGTGCTGGCAGATTCCAAGTCTGGTGAGAACCCAACTGTTGGTTTATAGACAGCCATCTTTTTACTGTCTCGTCACATGGCAGAAGGCTAAGAGAGCTCTCTGGCCTCTTTTATAAGAGCACTGATCTCGTTAATGAGGGTCCTGTCCTCATGACTTTATCACCTCCCAAAGGCACCATGCCCTAATGTTATCACCTTAGGAGTTAGGCTTTCAACATAAAAATTTGGGGGGACACAGATATTCAGTCCATAGCAGAAATTAATATAATAATTTCCGCTTTCTTTTGATTAGTGTTAGTATGTTATATCTTTCTCCATCCATTTACTTTTAATCCTTATGTGTCTTTATATTTAAAGTTGGTTTCTTTTAGACAACATATAGTTAGGTATTATTTTTGATCCACTCTGATAGTCTCTGTCTTCTAATTGGTGCATTTAGACCATTCACATTCAAGTGATTATTGATATAGTTGAATTAATGTCACCGTACTTGTTACTGTTTTCTGTTTGTTTTCCTTCTTTTTGGTTTCTATTTTTGTCTTCTACTTTTTTTCTGCCTTTTGTGATTTTAAATTGAGCAATTTATGATTCCATTTTCTCTCCTTTCTAGCATTTCAGTTATACTTCTTTTTTTAGTGATTGCCCTAGAGTTTGCAATGTATATTTACAACTCATCCAAGTCTACTTTCAAATAACACTATATTGCTGTGTACACACACACACACACACGGACACACACAATTTCTCCCACTTTTGTATGATTGCCATCATTCATTTCACTTATGTATGCATCCATAAGTATGTGTGTGCATATATATAGATTTATAAGATATATACATAAACATACATATTCAAATACATTGATGCTATTATTTTGAACAAATTGTTATCTCTTAGATCACTTAAGAATAAAAAGAAAAGTTTTAATTTTACTTTCACTTATTTCTTCTCTGATGCTCTTCCTTTCTTTATATAGATCTGAGTTTTTGACGTACATCATTTTCGTTATCTCCAAAGAACTTGTTTTAGCATGTTTTGCAAGGCAAGTCTACTGGTAACAAATTCCCTCAATGTTTGTCTGAGAAAGCCTTTATTTCTCCTTCATTTTGGATAAATTCTAGGTTGGTGAGTTTTTTTCTCTCAATACTGTTAAGTATTTTACTCTACATTCTCTTACTTGCATGGTTTCTGAGGAGAAGTCAGATGTAATTATTATTTTTGTTCCTCTATATGTAAGATGTTTATTTCCTTTGGCATTTTTCAGGTTTTTTACTTTACCTTTAATTTTTTGTAGTTTGAAAATGATATTTCTAGGTGTAGTTTTTCTGGCCATTATCCTGTTTCATGTTCTCTGAGTTTCCTGGATCTGTGATTTGGTATCTGACATTAATTTGGGGAAATTCTCATTCATTATTGTTTCAAATACTTCTTTTGTTCCTTTTTCTCTTCTCTTTTTAGTATTGCTGCATGAACAAAAGCACGATGTACATATTTGCCAAGTAGTGTATACTTGGCAGATGGTCGGAAATAAGACCAAACAAGGTAGATTGGGGCTGATTGAATAGGTCTTTAAGAGGTTGGACTGTTTTGGCTTTGTCTCATATGTAGGAGCTTTTGAGAGAGATTGAGAAGTAAATTAAGAATTTTGAATATTAATCTTGCAGTACTTTGTGGGGTGGACCAGAGAAAGCAAATACTGGAAGCAGGGATAACAAAAAGCTCTAATAATGGTCTACTTATGAGGTGATAAGAGCTAGACTTGTTGAAGTGAGTAGGAATGAAGAGAATGCAATATATTTTAAAGGAAGAGTATTTGGTGTTTATATACAGAAAGTTGAGAGAGAAAACAGCTTTTGAGGTAATAAGTGTGGATGAATGGTGGCATAATGCTGATATCAATACCAGAAGCTGGAAAGTCAGGAGGTTGAAATAGATTGAAAGAAAGGGTGATGAATTTGATTTAAGATAATTTGAATATAGAATGATAGTAGAATTGTTTGTTGGACAATTGCAGATATGGGACTAGAAGATGAGAATGAGATTTTTTTGGGAATGTGCTGATTTGACTGATTACCTGAAAATTTTTTTGTAATTTATTAAACAATAATTTAATAATGAAATGTTCAAAGTACAAGGTGCATGTTGTCCTGTGGGTACTTCAATTATTACTTACCCAGATTTTACCACTATTATTAGCTTGACATATATTATTTGATTCTTTATGTATATGTAAACATATGTGTGTATATCATTCATACTTATTTTTCTTATGCTGTGGAGGCAGATTCAGTGCATACTTTTTAATGCATAGTATAGATACACTTTATTTAGGAAAGTTTAACTTATTCCTGATTTTTATTTTTTATGGAAAACAGCATCACAAAGAATATTAAGTAATTATCTTTGCACATTCAACCAGCAAGTTTTGTAGAATAAATCCTAGAATTGGGCCAAGGGGTAAGCAGATTTATCATTTTGATACAGGTAACTTTTCAAGAAGGTTAGTGTTGATTTTTGTGTGCATGTGTGCAAATTACATGTGTGATTTTTTTTTTAAGAGGAAATATATTATGTGTTTGGGTGCGGTACCTACTGGTAGTGTGCGATAGTGTATTCTAGCTTTATTAGTCACTAAAATTAACATGTAAAAAGGCAGTGAAATTGCAGACATTGTCTTCAAACAGGAGAGATCTTCCTGATATGGGCTAATATAAAAGATCTGTCTTAGTGTGGACAGCTACAACCAGACACCATAGAATGGGTGGCTTAAAGAACAAAAATTTATTTTTCAGAGTTCTAGAGGCTGTGAAGTCCAAGATCAGGGTGCTAGCAGATTCAGTGTCTTGTGAGGACCAGCTTTCTGGTTTGCAGATGGCTGTGCTCCTTGTATCCTCACATGGTAGAGAGAGCAAGCTCTAGTCTCCTTCTCTTCTTATAAGGATACTAATCTCATCATGGGGGCTTTACCCTGAAATCCTCATCTAAATCTAATTACCTCCCAAAGGTCCTACTTCTGATACTATCACATCGAGGATTAGGAATTTAACATATAAATTTTGGGCGGGAGGGAGAGAACAACATTTACTACATAGCAAGGGCTATACACATATGTTTACATAGGAACTAGAATTGGAGATGAGGTTGTGACAGAGAAAGGGATATTTTGAAATTGATGAAGTACTGAAAAGTACTTCTAGTAGATTTCAGTACCAAAAGGGAAGGAGAAATATAATATTAACTTTATTTTCCAAAAATATCCAAGTCTTAATGAATTTTGTTTCCATAGGGACGTAACTCCAATTTTTAAAGTGGAAATCAGTGGGAAAATTTACTGTCTACTTAACTGGAATAAAAAAGAAAAAAATAGTTGTTTTTAGCTCTGAAATCTTTCTTTTACTAGTAGTGGTATTAAAGGATAGTTCTTGATTTTTCTAATGTAGTTTAGGCTTTCAGCTAAATAAAATTGAAGTACTGTAATACTTTTTGTTGGTATTATTGCAAAGTAGACACAGGTTTATTGTATGTTTCTATTTCTTAAAAATTAATTTGTATCAAACAGCAGAATCAAAATTACATGTCAGTTTTATGTTTCAGTTCATTAATTCTGTGGCAAATGTATATTTTTGACAGGATAATTTTGTGGTAGCTGCTACAAATAATGCACTGTGTATTTACAAAGGTTAAATCCTAGTGCATGCTTAACATAAGAGTAAGGAGTAAAGTGTCCTTGAAGGACTTTTTCTCCTTCTATTAAAATATAATTTCACAAGAAACCAACCTCAATTTTAGTTTAAAGGCTTTCTTATGTAATATGCAGACATCACTAATTTATCAAGATGCTATATTTCAAGCACGACTGAATAATTTAATGATTGGTTTGCACAGGCCCCAAATCTTTTCTTGTAGTAAGAAAAAGTAATTCTTGATAACCCATGATTAAGGGAAAAGGCTATTAGGAAAAAAATATGTGTAATGGTCTGGGGAAAGATTAATGAAATTAAAGGAGACAGAACTATTTTAATTAAAAATTTTGTTCTTAATTATTTTCAGTAAGAACACTTTTTCATCGTTTTTTACTTCTAGACACAATGCACGTTTAGTTACTTTCAAAATACTGGGTAAGGGCTTTTGGGGATAGGTGAGGTAATTTAGTTTCCTGTTCTTTAGCACAGTGTATAACATACAGAAGGTGATCAATATTTATGTGTTCTCATGTGAGTCTGCAGCCTGAGTACAGTTTTACCTTGTGTCAAATGAAAGACTCTTAGTAGCATTAATCACAGTCATAGTTACTTGCTGAAGGTCAACTTTGTGAAGGCTATGATTCTTCCCAGCCATTTTACCAAATTCTAAATGGCTTTTCCCCTGATTTGGGAGTGTGAATTTTGTACCAAGATCCACTCTTGAAATTTACCACAATAGCTTCAGGAAACATGACTCTGTGGTTTATGATTCTAGGAGTAACTAAACTGGAAAAGTTTATACTTCTAGTGTAGTTAGGTTAATTCTTAAAGATGGTGACCTTGATAGTCATAGAATCATTGTGTGGAAGTAAAGAAAAAATTATAAGGTATGATTCAACTTTATATTTGCATTTTGTTTTATGAACAATTGAAAATCCAAAAACTGGGCTTTGTTATAAAAATGATAAGGAGAATAATAAATGATAAATATTAGTAACAACAAAAAAAGCTTAAGTTCACTGATTACTAATTAAATGTATTTCTCTGTGCAGGTATAATTTGGCCTCCCGAGATTCTACCTTAGCAAGAAAGAAGTGGGAAATACTCTTGTAAGGAAAACTAAAACACCAGGAAAGCCAGAACTTATTTTTACATGGTTGTCAGCTCACTTACCAGTATGGACACTTTTCCCAACATTTTTCCTCCTGGTGGAGACAGTGTGCTGACAAGTTCTCAATCTGAGTTTCAAAAAATGTTAATTGATGAAAGGTTACGATGTGAACGTCATAAAAAGAATTATCAGACTCTGAAAGCTGAACACACAAGGTAAATTACTTAAGTTTAGAGATGGGGGCTTGGTTACGTAAAAATATATTGGAACTATCTTTGCTGAATGTTTGCTCTGGAACATGCTGTATAACTTTGTTATTTTGCAATATATACCTTTAAAACTTTTAAAATATAGTAGATTTTTTGCTTTAAAATTATTTTGTTCAAAACTAAGTATGATGTCAAGTGGGTTATGAATTTATAAAAGTCTTATTTTGGAAGTAGCAAGATGTGTAAGATTAAATGTATACAGGTGACTAAATGCGTCTTTTCCCCTTGAAGTAAAATTGCATTCAGAAGCTACAGTGTTAATAATAAAACGAAACTCTGTAAAGAAAAGATGTTTATGAATCTATGATATTGGTTTTGTTTTTCTGTGGTGTTAGTTGACTTTACATAAAGTAATGCAATTAGAAAGAACTTAAAATTGAATTCTTCTTTTTTAAAAAATCAGGTTGCAGGATGAGTGCATAAAGTTACAAAATGAACTCAAGCACCTGTTAAATGAAAAGCAAACTCAACAGGAAAAATTTCAGCTGATGTTTGAAGAGCTAAGAGGAGAATTATTAGAGAAAACTGAAGTCTTAGAAAAAATGATGATGCAGGTGAGAGTTAGTATAAAAGTAGTCAGATGTTTAGTGGAAGTAAGTAGTTCGGTGAACTTGGTAAATTCTCTATATCCTTAGTGATTGTTTTGCTGTATCTCTAAGTGGTATAATTTGGTCTTCCTTCATATATTCTAGAATATTAGCTGCCAGGTAGGGTAGTCATGATATTGTTATTTTGTGTAAATTGTGTATATTACCTATTGTGATTTAAATAATATTTCACCATTCAGAATAATTAGAGGAAAGTCCAGTTTGAATTGATGAAAATTCAGAATTAAATAATATTTTTTAAAAGATTTACTAATTTTTGTAATCTAAGAAAGCTAATAGTTATTTTTCAGAAGGTTCTTAAAAGAGACTGTAAAAACAATATGTATACAACTTATGTGCACGTTGTAAGGTAAATGGGTTTCTGAAGCAAAAGACAAGTGGTACTAAAGTACTGAACTATTTCTTTAGATATTTTTCACACTATTCATTTTTTGCCTGAAAAGTAGAGCAAAGATAAGTTTCAACTCCAGTCAGATTTACTATAAAATTCAATTTAATACGTATTAATGAATGATATTATTCTATACTCATTTAATCTCTGAATAGCACTAACTGTGTATTTCTGCCTAAGAATGTGCTTGGTTTAAATAATAAGGTATTAGTACTGGAGTCATACTTTCATAGAGTAGAAAGACATCTTTCAGATTATCTAGTTTGGCATGTCAACCAGTTTATAGTTTTCCTTTGACAGCAGCCTTGGAAATTTGTTATTCAGTATCTTGAAATCTTCCATTGTTGGGAATACCACTAAACTTGGGTTGGAGCCTCCAATATGCTCACTGTTTCATTCCTAGGTTTATTTGGGACATTTAAATAAAACCTCAGAAATGTGAGTTGAAGAGAGAAGTGTAATTTAAGCCTATGCAATCAGTGGATTAATTTGTTTTGCAAAAATTGAGGGGCCTATATGAATGGAAGCTGTAAATGCTGAACCCGAGGTATATGAGATATTTTTCAGGCATTGCAAATTTAATTATTCTGTCTCTTGCTAATAATGTCTAAACATTTTATTTGTACCAAGCACATACAGAAAGTGAGCTTAAGGAGGCCAAAGAGGCTTAATATCAGATTAAAATAGACTTCAAGGCAGAATATTACTAAAGATAAGGACATTTTATAATGAAACAAGGGCGAGTTCATCAAGAAGATGATGACCTTTAACAAGTAACTATGTCTCTATGCCTTTCTTTTCCCATGTGGTAAAGGGGATAAAAGTTTCTATCTAACAGAGGTTGTTGTGAGGCTAATAACATACATTTTTGCTACAGTGCCTGGCACAAAGTAGATACTATGATGACATTTTCATTCCGTTTGAATGCAGGCTCCTTGAGGGCAGGAACTTTTTTTTTTTTTTTTTTTCCTTTTTGTCTTTTTTTACTGATCGGCAACGGGATCGCAACCCTCAGTGTTGCGCCCACACCGCGCTCAGCCAGTGAGTGGGAACCGGTCTCCACATGGAATCCGAAACCTCGGCAGGAGCACCGCCGCGCTCCCAAGCGCGCACTCTCCAGTGTGCCACCGGGCCGGCCCCGAGGGCAGGAACTTTTTTTCAGTGTGTCTTCAGTGTTTAGGACAATGCCTAGCAAATATATATTTTTCGAATGAATGACATGAATAAATGAATGAATTGGGATTGTTGTTCTGTTTATATACAATATAATATTGCATTTCCTGTCTCATACATTCTATGACACTATATGACTATATGACACTATAGCCTCAGTGTCTTAGACTTGATAATCATGTAGTCTTCCCTTCATATCTGTTATGGGTTGATATCACCCAAAGGATATGTTGAAGTCCTGACCCCTAGTACCTCAGAATGTGATGTTATTTAGAAATAGGGTCATTACAGATAGAATTAATTAAGTTGATGAGGTCATACTGGGGTATTGTGGGCCTTTAACCCAATATGGTTAGTGTCCTTATAAGAAGAGAAGGGAGACAAACAATTTGGACTGGGGGGAATGTTATGTAATGATGGACATGTAATTTGAATGCTGTAGCTGCGAGCCAGCAAACCACCAGAAACTAGGAAGAGGCAAAGAAGGATTCTTCCCTGTAGGTTTCAGAAGGAACATGGCCTTGCCAACGGCTTGATTTCAGACTTCTAGCTTCCAGAGCTGTGAGACGATAAATTTCTGTTGTCTTAAGCCACCCAATTTGTGGTATTTTGTTATGGCAGCTTAGGAAACTAACACACTATCCAAAGTGGAATTCCTTTTTAGAACATCTAAAAAGGACTTTTCATTTTCTGCTTCAGCACCTTTATTACTAGAGAACCTAGTGAACTTTTTAAAGTGATTCAGTTCCATTTATGGATTGGAGTATGTTAAACATTTTCTCCCATATTGAAATGAAACCATTATCCCTGTAGCTTTGCTGTGGGTTCTTAGACTCTTCCTTAGATCTATACAAGATGACTTTGGCAGTTCCTCCGTGTGATAACCTCTCAAATGTTTGCTGACAAATATATCTATTAAGTTTCTGTTTTTCAAAATAAACATTTGGTTTCTGTGTGATATTTATCTGGCAAAAATAAGTTAAAGAAACATCACAAATATTATATACACACATAGGAGCAATTTAGCTATTAGCTTTAATTGATGTTTGTAATTTGTTCAAATTGTAAGTTAAGAAAAGTAGATTCAACAAAGTAAAATCAGTAAGAAATATTTCAGTGAAGTCTGTGAAAGATGATTATTTTAAAAATACACATGTATTGTCTACCTACAAAAATGCCTTTTTCTAAGATTTAATATCACCACTTTGGCTTTTATAGAAAAAAGATATACAAGACATTCATTTAAAGAACATTTCTGCATTAGTAGTGTTAAGAATGATAATAGTACCTAGCTCCTAAGGTGATTGTAAGGAGGAAATGAGACAGTGCATAGGAAGTGTTAGTACAGTGCTTTGATGCAGTAAGTGATCAGTACATGTTAGCTATTATTACTATGTACCATGTTACCAAGACTTTTTCTTAAAATGTGGAGTCATTTTGTATATTTCTGATAAAACTGAAAAAACACAAAAACTTTGCTAAGAATGTATATGCTCTTTTTGTGCCAGGAAATGAAAACAATATAGCCCAGTATGTTTCCCATTTTATTTTGGCTTCTAGAAAGCTCAGATCTAAATGTATTAACTCAGTTTCATTCATTAACTTATTAAGAATTTTTGGCACAGCAATATTTGCCCTCTTAAATTAAAAAATTCTTTGAAAAAGATTGGCCTATTTTATATTATTAATATGGCAAGTATCAGAGTGTTAAAGTTTTTTTAAAATAGATTTTAATATAGGTAATGACACCTAGACTGTTGTATGATAAAGCATTATTTAAGTTTCTTTCGAGACAAATCGTGGCAATATTCCATTAGAAGTCTAAGACACAGAATGATTTCTCCTCAGATGGGATGGGGAAATCCTCTGTGTCTTTGGTTTCTGTGTGCTTTGGTGGGATCAGGGAGGGGTAAGGGGGAGTGAGATTTTATTATGTGTTTGCTTGTTTTTAATAAGATTCCTAGGGGATAAAGAAAAAAAATCTTAGAGACTCTTTGTCAGGGACCTCATAGATCAGAGGAAGCCACCCTTGTTTGTTGTTGTTAGGTGGCCCAGACCAAAGATGAGATGTACATCCTTACAGAATTGTATAGGATTTAAAGCACTGTTGTTTCTAAGAGGTATCTGTGATATAATTGAACAAATAACATTAGGAGCTGCATGGATATTGTGCAGCTGTTTCACTGTACAGAGTAGTGCGCATAGGTCAGCCTGTTTCTCTTTGTTTTGCCATGTGCCTTCTGCAGGTTGTCAGCAAATTTTCAGGAGATCATTTCACCTTGACAAGATGGAGCCTGTGCCTGACAATAAGCTCCCTCAAACCTTTTGTTTGTTTTAATATGTGTATTTTTAAATCTGTAAAACAGGTATAACAGTTATAAAAATCAGAAACAATAAATGTAAGGCACCAAAGCACAAGTCTCAATATAATTGATAAAATACAATTCTTACCCTTTTAGGAGCTCATGATTAGTGAAGAGGGGCAGACTATTTAAAAATTAATGAATGGGAGCAAGGAAGGATTCTGAGATATCTCTTTAAGTCTCTTAAGCTTTTCATATTTAGTAAAACCTCAGTAATCAATGTATTCAAAATATGTTGTAGTTAATTTAGTTTGGTGTTTAGCTAGAGTTAACAAGATAATCCTTTGTGTATTTTTTTTTTTCTGACCGGTGAGGGGATCGCAACCCTCAGCACAGTGTTGTCTGCACCACGCTCAGACAGTGAGCACACCGGCCATCCCTACATAGGATCTGAACCCGCGTCCTTGGCACTACCAGCGCCACACTCTCCCAAGTGAGCCATGGGGCCGGCCCTCCTTTGTGTTTAAATCTACATTTCATTGTTCTAAATAGTGAAACCTGTAGCATTAGTTACTTGTTAACAGCATATGAACCAAATTGAATCCTTTTTTCTTTTACTTTTTTTAAATTGATGAGTAAAAATTATATGAGAGGACTTCAAAGTTTGTGGAAAAAATGGAATTAAAAGATAAAAATAAAAAATATAAACTTTATTTCTCAACATAAGATCCATCAAGTTTAAGACACTTTGTAAGTGATGATACCAACCATTTGGTCCTTCCCTAGAGTACTGAGAGTCCTGGGAATTTAACAATGTCAATGCAGTCTTTTTTACATTTTTAACTGAAGAAAAATGGATGCCCTATAAAGATTGTTTAAGATTAGTGTTAAAAGAAAAACTTTAGACAAGTTAAATTTAACAGAGTTTAACTGAGCAAAGAATGATTTGCGAATCAGGCAGACACCAGAACCAGAATAGGTTCAGAGCGATTCTGGGGCTGCCGTGTGGTTGGCTAAAATTTAAGACAAAAAAAGGGCAGTGGCGTACAGAAAATGGAAGTGAGATACAGAATGGTTGCCTACCTGTAGTTGGCTGAGACAAGAATAGGTTAGTCTGTTTGCACACCATGTTAGTTTACAAGAGTAGATTATAATCTGTTTACACATCAAGTTAGATTACAATTCCTATGTCTGAAGAAACCTTTAGGCCAAACTTGACATTAGGAAACAAAAAGAAGTCAGAAGGAGCCAAATCAGGACTGGAAGGTGGATGTCTACTAATTTCCCATTGAAATTCTCATAAAATTGCCTTTGATGAGAGGAATGAGAAGGAGCATTGTTGTGATGGAGAAGGACTCTCTGGTGATGCTTTCCCAGGCATTTTTCTGCTAAAACTGTGGCTAACTTTCTCAAAACACTTTCATAATAAGAAGGTGTTATGAAGTTTGGCCCCCCAGAAAGTCAACAAGGAAAATGCCTTGAGCAGCCCAAAAAACTGTTGCATCGCTTTTGCTCTAGACCAGTCCACTTTTGCTTTGATGGGACCACTCTGATCTCTTGATAGCCATAGCTTTGATTGTGCTTTGTCTTCAGGATTGTACTGATAAGGCCATGTTAAAATTCTTCAAAGAAACGTTTTGGGATTTTGACCTCACATGAAAGCTCTGCTCTTGTCTGCAGCTCACCTGGGCGCAACAGTTCTGGCACCCATCAAGTGGAAAATTTGCTCACCTTAAAGTTTTCAGTCAGAATTGTTTAAGCTGAACCAGTTGAGATGACTGTGGTGTTGGCTATTGTTTCTGTTGTTCATCATTGGTCCTCTTCAATTAGGGCATGAGCAAGATTAATTTTTTTCTTGCAAATTGATGTGGATGGTCTGCCACTGTAGGTTTTATCTTTAACATTGTCTCCTCTCTTCTTAGAATGAGTTATCCATTTGTAAATGGCTGATTTCTTTGGGGCATCATTCCCATAAAATTTTGGAAAGCATTAGTGATTTCAGTGTTCTTCTATCCAAGCTTCACGATAAATTTGATGTTTGTTCTTGCTTCAGTTTTAGCAGAATTCATATTGCTCTGATAGGGACTCTTTTCGAACTGATAGGGGCTCTTTTTGAACTGATGTCTTAACCTTCTTAGTGCCTCAAACTAGATTCTGCTGAGACATGTTATAACAAATTAGTATGAGGTTATTTTGGTGCAGAAATATTTGTCAATCCATGTGTAGTTTTTTCATAATATGCATTTTCCATGAACTTCTGAAGACCCCTCGTATATATTTATGGTATATAATGTGATTTTTTAATATATGTATACATTATGGGATGGCTAAATCAGACTAATTTATATATGCATAACCTCATACTTATTTATTTTGGTAGTCCAAATTGAATTCTTCTTTGATAAAGAAAAGATCTTACATGTACACAGAATTAACATTTGTAGGATATAAAAATAAAGATATAGAGCATGCAGGTAGTTGTAATGCATCTTTAACCCAGAGGACATTCTTTATTAATAGTAATAAAAATTCAGTTATATGAGCTTAATGTGATAATTAAAGATTAGTTAGTGTATCTATATTATTCATAGTCCTGATGATTTAAATACTTGATTCTATAGTCAAAGTATGCATGCACATTGTTCTTTACTGATTTTTTTTTTAATTTGCAGATTTTTCTTATGACTTACAGGGACAATGATTTATTCTTTCAGTATTAGACACTCAGTGCATGTTTATTTAAATGTTCTTTAAGAAAATATAGTGTATATTTCTGTCATTTGTTCTACCTATCTCTGCCTTTTAATTGGAGTGTTTAGGCTTTTTGTACTTTCTGTGATTATTAATATAATTAGATTTAAATCTGTAATCTTGCTATTTGTTTTCTATTTGTTCCATATGTTTTGTTTTCCTTTTCAGTTTTTTCCTTAATATTTTTAAATTTTTTTTGTCTCCAGTTTTTCTACTTTGTTGGCTTATTAGCTTTAATTCTTTGTGTTATTTAAAATGTTGCTTTAGGCTTTATAGCATATATCTTTCACTTTGGGGTTTATAGACTATAAGTTCTCTCTGCCTGCCCCAGCCATAAACCCCTCACTAGATTGTTATTATTTTTGTTTAAAATGTCCATTATCTTTTAAATAGATTTAAATAATAAAAAAAACCATATTTACCTGTGTAGCTACCAATTTCATTGTTTTTCATTCTTTTGTGTATATCCGTATTTCCACTGGATTATCTTGCATCAGATCATATTATTTCAATCCTAAATAATTTAGTATATATCTCTATTACATACCAAGGCAAGCACTCTTTTAAAAGCATAACCACAATACCTTTACTTCAAATACTTATTTCTTAATGCATTTTAATAACCTATCTTTGTTCAGATTTCCTTAATTTTCCTGGTTTTGCATGCTTGTTCATTTATTTTTTAAGTTGGCTTATTTGAAACAGGATCCAAATAAGCTTTATCTGTTTCAGGTAATCTCTTTTAATTACATCTCTTCTTAGCTTTAACTATTGATATTATCACCCATACTTGACACCATAAACCAGATTATGACATGAGCTTTCTATCTGGTTTCTCTAGCCCCGTTAACTACCTCTGCTTCCTATAGCTGCCACTTCTCTCCCACCAAACCTTTTGATTCATCTTGCTTCTTCCTGAAATATAGATATAGTGGTGTTATTCTTAAGCTTAACAAGCTTCAGTGAATAAGCAAGATACATAAAAATGTATATGTCTCTTTTTAATGTAAAATTTAAATGTGGCTCATATGCTTATATATGTAGATTGTTTTAGGAAGTATGCCTAAGAAATTATTAACAATGATTGTTTCTATAGAGGGAGACTGGATGACTGAAGTGAGAAGACATTTTTTCATATTGTATTTTGTTTTGTTTGAATTATTTTATGTAATTGAAATTTATTTAAATTAGTTATTTTATAAATAAAATAGTTTTTTAAAAGTAAATGCTATTGAATAAATTATAAGAGTCTGAACCTGGTATTCAGGAACCTTCCACTCTTTTGCTCCAGTTTCTTTCTCTTGCATTCCCAGACAGGCTGTAGCTCTCCTAGGTGGCATTTGGAAATGTGTCAGCATGGCCTTGATTGTCACAGTGTCTAGAGGTACCTCCAAGCATTGAGGCACAAGGACCCAGGGTTCTAAATTCCCTATAGTGCTTAGTGTAGTCCTATCCAAAATGCCTTTAACTTCTTTGAGAATCACTCTTCTCCAATGCAGTCCCTGCCACCATAGGCAAATTAAAATTTTATCTGTTTTCAGGTTTGAGTTCTACCTAAGCTTTAGCCTTCCCATTTCTTTGATGTGTTATTTTTTCTCTCCTAAATATCTTTTCTCTTTGTCTTCACCTGTCTGGTAAGCCTATATTGCCTACTTTTATAGTTACTTCTGTGTATGAGTTATTTTTCATACCAAAGATTGAAATTCTTATGGGAAGATGCATGCTTCATGAGAGTCTCTGTGATCTTTAGAAAGTTATTTAGACTGTGTGTGTGCTACGTTGCAAGATTGTTGTGGGGATTAAATAACTTAATGCATGTAAGGTATGTATGTAGATCATAGCATGTTGTACAATGCTTTATATAAAGTAGGCTTTCATTCAGTAAAATATTTTGAACAAAATATTTGTAATATTGATGAGTAAATGAATTAAATGATTATTATTCTCATTTTTATAGAGTTCAAATAAATACAAACTGTAGATATTTTGCAACCAGTGTTTGTTTATTCATTCATTCATTCATTTATTCATTCATGAAGTAATACTTGAGTGGTTCCTGTGTGCCAGGCAGTGGTGGGAAGTGTTGGGAATAAAAGGTCAATAAAGACTGTGTCTGCTTATATGGAGCTTACACAAATATTTCATTACTTATTGAAATATGAGTTCTTGAGAAAGTATGACAGTGAGAAGCCCAAATTAGTTTTTTTTTTTTTTTTTTTTTTTTTTTTTTTTTTTTTTCCATGTCCAGCAACAGATCGCAACCCTCAGTGTTGCCCCCGTACCGGACCGGCAACGGGATTGCAACCCTTGGTGTCGCTCCCGCGCCTCGCTCAGCCAGTGAGTGGGAACCGGTCTGTTTGTGGGATCCGAACCCTCGGGCGGGAGCGCCGCCGCGCTTCCCAAGCGGCGCACTTATCCAGTGCGCCACCGGGCCGGCCCCCAAATTAGTTTTGATGGTCAGAATAAAAATCAGAATAAAAATCCAATTGAAAATGTCTGACGAATTCTCTTTGGTATACAAAATTATTCCACTTTTATTTTGGTTGCTTAAGAAAATAACTAGGCTATCAGCAATTGTATCCAACATGAATGCCTAAGCTGCCAACATAGTTATTCCTAACAATAACAATAATAGTCAGTGACTTGTCTTTACCTTGTATTAATGGAATTTTTGACATCTCTGAGAGCCTGAAATTGAGATTCTTAAAGTATTGTTTCAAATGATGATTCTGTTTATATAGTGATTACTGTAAAATTAGCTCTATTGTGAAAACCTTTATGAATTGAATTTCCATTGTTATATTTAGAAGAGAGGCTTTGACATTTGGAAAATTCTTGTTTTTAATAGTTGTGATTTCGTATTTCAAATTGTTTATATTTTTCTACATATTAGGCATTAACTCCACAAAAATTGGAATTGTTAAGAGCCCAAATACAACAAGAATTAGAAACTCCAATGAGAGAGCGTTTTCGGAATCTAGATGAAGTAAGTAATTTACTATGCATTTATATTCATGTGATTTATCTTCATTTATCCTCACAAAAGTCTTGGTGGAAAGCATCATTTCCCTACTCAAAAACCCTGCAATAGCTCCCCTTTTTACTCAGAGTCCTTACAGTAGCCTCTAAGGCTTCACAGGATTGTACTCCATTACCTCTCTGTCCTGTCTCCTCCATCCACACTGGCTTCCTGGTATTTCTTTGATGCTCCAGAAATAGAGCAGTTCATGAGCCTTTGCTTTAGTGTTACTTCTGCCTTGAATTCTTTCCTTCCAGATAGTTCTTGGCTACTTCTTCATCTCTTCTAAGTCTTTGCTAAAATGTCACTTTCTCAATGAGGCCTACCTTGTTTGTCCCTCATAACCCCATTTAATATTGCAACCTGCCTTTCACATCACTATTTAGATCTTTTGATCCCCCCACCCTGTTCTATTTTTTATTTTTTCTCTAGTACATATTATCTTCTAATGTGCTGTATAATTTACTTATGTATTCTGCTTATTTTCTGTTTGCCACCTCTAGAATGGAAGTTGCGTGAGAGGAGGAACCTTTATTTGTTTTGTTTACTGGTATATTTCAAATAGAACAGTTCATGGCATACAGTAGGTGCTCAATTTAATATTTGTTAAATGAAAGAATGAATTTCTTGTAACTTTAGACAAGTAAAAATTTATTATAGTTTTACTTCAGATTGAGACTAGTTTCCTTTCATGAAATGGACTAAATGTTTAATAGAGGGGACTGGAAAAGACTGCAGATATTAAGTATATTAGGTACTATGCCATACATTTTATATGTTACCTTATTTAACAAATACACTGGGCCTTATACATACAGATGATTATTGTCCCCTTCAAAATGGACCCCTTTAGTCTTGTAATGCTGCCATTGTACAAAACAACTGTGGAGTCATTTTTTATAACAGCTTACTGGCTTGATATTATGACCTTTTAAATACACTTGTAGAGGCAAAGCATTATGGTTTGGGAGTAGATTTAATTTTGGAAATAAAATCACTAAGACCCAAGGTAGGTGATCAAGTTAAGTAAAAGCGTTTTGTTTTTGTTTTTTTAAAATTAAAACAAATAAAATAATTAAGCCTATTTTCTTGGCTTGTAAACTGGCTTAGAAGTCTTTCAACTAAAGATTTACAGTAAGCTGAGTATTTTCTTTTCTTTTTTTGAGCTGAGTATTTTAGGAGATATGCTTTCCTCATTACCTAATTTCCTGATGTGTGTTGAAATAGTGTCTCCTGCATCTTTTTGCTCTATTGCCTAAGTTTCTTGTTGAGTATTCAGTATGCTAGCAGCTTTCATAGAGTGTTAAGAAGCAGGATTAGAGCACCCCAGAGAATTGTACAGGTTCCTGGATAGTCAGGAGAGATGGTGCTACATGTATGCTTCAGGCTGGTGTGTTGAGTTTAACTGTCTTGAAATATTTGATTGAACCTTAAGTTAATGTACTAAATATTCAAATAACTTTTTATTAATTTTGAATTCATCTTGTCTGACATTTGGGAGGTAGTTTATACTTTATTATAGTTTTTTTTTAATCTAGCTATATTTTTATCTAGCTGCATTCTTTATTTTTTCTTTTTAAAAAATTTTAACATTTACTTGTACATTTTTGTGGAGTACACTGTATTGTTTTTAATACACGCATATACTGTACAGTGATTCACTTAGTGTAGATAGCATAGTTTTGTACCCGTGAGTCCACCACTTCTCCCCCCAACTCCGTGCCACATTCTTAAATATTACTTTATTAAGCCCAGAGGTCAAAACTTTTGTCCTGCTATACATTTTTATTATAATGAGAATCTGTGAAGAAATAAGGATAAATGAATGGTAATTTGCTTTATTGGTACCTTCTCAGGAATGTACCAGTTCTGTATGTAAGATACTTGCATGAGGACTTTTCCAAGGTTCATTTGTATTTACGTTAAATTTATGTTTTATTTTTAGAATGACTCTCAGTATAATGTAGTTTAAAATCATATTTGCAGAAGTGATTTTTGGAGTGAGTGAAAATTTCATTTATAAATTTTTGATAAATTGCAACCTCTTTTAAATTTAGGAAGTGGAAAAGTATAGAGCTGAGTATAATAAGCTTCGCTATGAACATACATTTCTCAAATCAGAATTTGAACACCAGAAAGAAAAATTCACACGTATTTTAGAAGAAGAAAAAATAAAATATGAATCAGAGGTGAGTGGCTATACTAGTTTATTACTTATTGTTCTTTTCAATAAAATTTTTATGATGATATATTTTTGTACATCTCAAATTAGAGGTGATTGCATAATTAAGTTTTATTAATTAATGGTGAAGTGTTTCTCATGATTTTCATCAGCTCTATATCAACATTTTTCTTGTGAATGTTCTGTTTTGATGTTAGATTTTCCTATTCTTTTTCTCATTTATTTTGCCCCAGCCAATGGAGGTAGACAACTTTGGGATTTCCATCACACAAAGTCTTTTGTCTCCCATAGCCACCACGACATACTCCTCTTTGTAAGTATAGTTTGTGTGATTCCTTATTTAGCACTGTCACCTCTTCTTCTTGGAACCACACTGTGCACAGGAGAGCTCTAGCTGTCAGCCCATGCACCTTGTTTTCCATTGATTTAAACAAGGGTTTATACTTTAGGGTATAACCATCATCTTCAAGAAGAATACTTTGTTCTTTCTGATGTCTGCAGCTGCAACAATCTCTCTCTGCTGCCTACAGCATGCACTCCTACTCCATCTCCATTGCTTTTGGCAGCCATTCTACTCATTTTGTGGTTTGTCTCCCAGTTTTGCCAAAAATGGGGTTTCTGTTTTTCATTCCTCATGTTGTTTTTGGATGATTGTTCAGGACAGAAAGAAATAAATATCAATTTTATCTTGTCATATTCATAAAAATAATCTTGGTTTTATAGTTTTGTGATACTGTGTACAAACACATCTGCATTTTATATTTATTGTATTGTCTTTATTTGGAATTAAGAGTTAAAATATACTCACCTTCCTTTACCCATTACTAAATACTTACAGTATTCTAGGCATCTAATAAAAACTAAAATTGTGGACTTATGGGTACAAAACTATGCTGTCTACTGTAAGTGAATCGTTGTGCAGTATAGGCATGTATTGAAACAACACACTATACCCCACAAAAATAAGTATAAATAAAATTGAAAATAATAAATAAGCAAAAAACCCACTGAAATTGTGCTCTTTGGATCAAACTCATTTATTCTTATCACTGAGCAAACTGTTCCATGATTGTTCCACATGTAAGAAGCTATGTGAACTTTGGATCATTGGAGTTAATTAACGATACAGTACCCAGAACACTGTAAGTATTTATAATAGTTTTTTGCAGTTTAAGAGTTCTTTACAGCTTTAATGCTTTATTCACATATTGTCTCATTTTTATTATAATGTCAGTGTGATGGAGCAGGACTGTCATTTTTCTCCATTTTAAATGAGGAAACTTAGGCATAGGATAAATGTATTGTTCCAAGCCTCACAGAAAGTCAGCAGCAAGATTAGCAAAAGTTCTCAGACATCCCAACTCAGGTATCCCAACTCCTAGCCCAGGGTTTTAAGTTTGAAATTACCAGTGATTTGAAATTGCCAGTCTGATTAGGGGTCATCCAACAATTGCAATTTTATCTATACTACATGTAATTATAAAATATTTCAACTCTGTAATTGTGATAGACTTAAAGAAACTACATTTAAAAATTGTCTTGTGGGGCCGGCCCGGTGGTGCACTGGATAGTGCGCCGCTTCGGAAGCGCGGCGGTGCTCCTGCCCGAGGGTTTGGATCCCACATACAGACCGGTTCCCGCTCACTGGCTGAGCGAGGCGCGGGAGCAACACCGAGGGTTGCGATCCCGTTGCCGGTCCCCGGTCCGGTATGGGGGCAACACTGAGGGTTGCGATCCGTGGCCGGACACGGAAAAAGACAAAAGACAAAAAAAAAAAAAAATTGTCTTGTGGAAATAGAAATGATAAAGTTTTCCAGCTTAAAATGAAGATCTAGGATATTGAGGAGTAACTACTGAAGTTCAGTATAGTGATGCTTTATTTTATACTTCACTTTTAAAATCTAATGATGATATTTATCTGGTAATGATTATTTGTATTCTCTAGTTTTTTAGTTTTGTTATTTTTTTAAAGAATGAAACCTGTATCTGAAATCTGATGACTAATCTGTTTTTTATCCATGAAAGACCAAATGATATTCATTAAAACATTTAAGGGGTCAGTAGTGTCATTTATTTTCATAATTGGTATATCTTTTAATACTCTTATGAATCTAAAAATAAACTGCTAGGTAAGAAGCCATAATTAGTAGAGGCTACAAAAGTAAGACTTTCTGATAAGACAGAAGTTCTTTTCCTTCTACTTCTCAATTGATTATGCAGGAGCAATATTACTGAGTAGATAATTGGGGATTTGATTTCATTCCATTACTTATCTTCATACTACAGTTTTTATACACAAAAACAGTAAAACCTGGTAAGGTGGTTGTGGATCATGAAGCAGCAAATATAGTTTCAAATATAGTTTATAAAAACAACAAATATAGTTTCAGAACTTCAGAGTAGAGTCTACTCTTGCCATCTTTCAATTGTATAATTTAAAATAATGTAAAATATATGAATTCATGTTATAAAAATAATTGGATTTTCTTTCATTAATTAAAGACTCATACAATACTTGTGCATTTTCACTTTTACAGATAAAAGTAACTGAATGTTCTTTAGTGTGTTGGCTCTTAGTCAAATGCTTCAGGAAGATTTTTAAAGTTTTTTCTAAGAAGAACTCCAGGAATTCACATTTCCCTCATGATATTTTGTACTAAAAGAATATATGTCATGCTTTCTCAATGCATTTGGCTGTAAGAACATATTAAGTCTGGGACTTGATACAGATGAAATGCTGAGGTTGCATGTACAGTCATTATTCAAAAGTGGGACTATTGTGTTTTTATTGTTATTAGGACTCTAATTTTGAATTATTCTTAAAAGAGTAATAAAGAGCAATACAGAGAGTTTTAAGTACTATACAAGGCCAGAAAAAGAAGATCCAGGTGGGACAATCCCTGGAGTTCACATTGGGTCAGGCAAAATTTATGTTTTCATCAGCCAGAGTGGAAAGACACTCTGCTGCATGGTACATTGAGTAGAAGACACAGAAGGATTTTGCCTCGGTAGTAAGGCCAAAGTAGCCATAGTCTAAAGGCTATTCTGGTTCTGCCTAACAAGTATTAACAGCAAGATTTGAAAGGATCAAATTGTTTCTAAGTGTCTTAACTGCATACCAGAACAAAGATTCAGAAGTATGTAAAGGAAAACAAAGAACCCAGCACTGAAAAAACATAAAATTTAAATTTCTGGCATCCCGTCAAAAATAACTGACCAGCCCAGATAGATTCACTAGTGAATTCTACTAAACATTTAAGGAAGTACAAATTCTCTATAATCTCATTCAGAAGATAAAATTAGAGAGAATACCTCCTACCTCACTCTATGAGGTTAGCATTACCCTCATACCAGACAAAGACATTCCTATGTGGGCAATAATGAGGGCTCTCATCCTCTGACATGGTGTCACTGAAGACATGAGTAGCTGGAGCTTGCACTCTCAACTGCCAGTAATGAGGTATCCTGCCTTTGCCCTGCTTGGGTTGTGTCAGAGGAGATCTAGTGTAGAGAAAGGAGATTCACCACTTCACAGCCTTGTGGTGTCAATGGAAGCCACACCTAGCTCTATGGTGTCAATGGAGGTTACACGGGGTATAGTAACATGTCACTTCTACCCCTTCCATCCAGGGAAGTGTTAGTGGAGTCCTCAAGGGGAGGTGGAACTCCCACCACTGCTCAGCATGGGTGTCACGAGGATCTGCCCCCCCACCTCAGATGTCAACAGAAATAGAGTTGGGAATCTGGACTACTTTGTTCACCTGCCAGTAATGACTTGGCAACACCACCCTTTCCCTGCCATAGTGATATCGTAAAAAGCCAGCTAAAACAGTATATAACATCCAGAGTCTCATAACAAAATTCCCAAAATGTCCAAGTTTCAATTGAAAATTGCTTCTCATGCCAAGAACTAGGAAGATCTGAAACTCAGTGTAAAAGAAATCCATAGATGATGACACAGATGACAGAGATGTTAGAATTATCTGACAAAGTCTTTACACTATCCATGGTAAGAATGCTTTCATGAACAATTACAAACATGTTTGAAACAAATGAAAATAATAGACTCAGCAAAGAGACAGAAAATATAAAGAAGAACAAGTTGGAAATTTTAAAACTGAAAAATACGATGATTGAAGTAAGAAAACCTCAACTGCTGGGCTCAACTGCAGAATGGAAGGGATAGAGGAAAAAAATTAGTGAACTTGAAGATAGAACATTAGAAATCATCCAATCTGAACAAAGTAGAGAAAATAGATTTTTAAAAGAAATCGACAGAGATCCTCAGTGACCTGTGGTATGATGGCAAAAGATCTAAGATTTCTGTTCTTGAAAGGAAAGAAGGGGGCAGGGCTGAAAAGTACTTGAAGAAATAATGGATGAAAATTTCCTAAATTCAGTAAAGGCACAAACACACAAATTCATGAAGCTGAGCAAATCCCAAACAGGATAAATTCAAAGAAATCAATACAAATAGACATCATAGTCAAACATATAAAAACTATAATAAAAAAAAATCGTGAAAGCAGCAGAAGAAATGGTGTCTCTCCTATTAGGGGAAAACAATTAGAAAGCTAGCAGATTTCTCATTAGAAACCCTAGAGGCCAGAAGCAATGGCACAGTGTTCTCAGGTACTGAAAGAAAAGAACCATCAACCCGTGGTCCTATATCCAGCAAATATATCCTTCAGGAATGAAGGGGAAATCAAGACATTCTCAAATGAAGGAAAAGTGGACCTATCCAAAAAAATGTCTAAGAGAAGTTGTTTAAACAGAAAGAAACAATAAAAGGAACCTCAAAATATTAGGAAGGATAAGAGAACATGGTAAGTGAAACTATGGATATACGCAATACACTTTGCCTCACGAGTTTTCTAAATTTTGTTTCGTGGTCAAAGTAAAAATTACAGCACTGTGATATGGTTCTAAATGGGTGTGGAGGAAATATGTAAGATAGTTACATTATAAATGAGAGAGAGCAAAGGGATGCAGAGGGAGTTAAAGTTT